AGAGCTGCCTGTGCTCATGGAGCCATGGAATTAAATGTTCTGCTTTCCCTGGAATTCAGCTAATATAATCCTATGGGATTTGGCAAGGGGTCAGGTTAACCCACATTTTAATACTGTAATTAGGTTTAAATGTTCTTAGACACTAATTAGACCAGTAAATGTCCCCCTAATCTGTGTATAAACTCAAATCCTGTTTGATTCCCAGCTATTCCTCTTCTTCCCTTCCCAGAAACCCTCACAATTAAAGGATATTGGTTCTAAAATGAAACTAAAAGGACTCACAGAGGTCTCAAACCCAAAGTTCCTGGATTTCAGCTGAGTGGGAATAAATAAACTGTTTTTCCACATGTGGTTCAGAGTGATCATGGATTATTTCTGATCTTCAAACCTCCCAAATTAAAGGATTTCACATTGATCATGGGCTAAGAGTAACAACCAGGAAAACTTACTGTAGGATTACCTGGCAAAGAGCAAAATACCAAACCTTGCAAGACATCTGACACCTTTGTCTAAAACCTGAAGGAACTTTATTACCTAAAACTTGATTTTCAGTGTATATTCTATTTAAGAATTCAAAATTATATCTTTCTAAAAGCTCATTTCTAGCATTTTAAGCCTCTCAAGCCCATTTTAAACACCACCATCACAACTGAAAACACTCAAGCCACACATTTTGCATCCATTTCTCAGACTCTGCTCGGCTCTCACTTGAGTCACTGGATTATTATAAATGATATTTCTTGAGAAACCATTCACTTCAGAAAAACTGGACTTGGGAGAATGAGCCCACAGTTCAAATCTTGGTCAGTTTGCAAAGTTTTATAGACTGAGTTCCACCCCATCCACGCAGGAATTATTGAACTCTCCAAGACACAGATGAACTGCTGGTATTAAATTGTTATTTTAATTCCACGCCTGACCTTGCACTCTCCCCCTAATGCTGTCTGGAAGTCAGACATTGCTTCTCAATTTATCAAATCCCAACACCAAATTACTAAACACTTGGCTCCCCAATATCTTAGTGCAACAAAAATGGAATGTGAAATTCCAATGCAAACACTGCTGGACACATCCAAGATGCCACTTCTTAGTCCTGTGGGAATTTTAAATATATAAAAATCACAGCCACTATTTGCAATATAAGGTTGTATTGACCATAAATATAACAGATCACAGAAGTTCATTTAACTCCCAGCAGGGAGTTAAACCCATGTTCTTCTGTGGGTAAAATAAAAATCTGTAAATGTCCAGAGACTGAGGCTGACAAGTTTTGTGACAAATTAGGAGACTTTGGAAAGCATTGTCATGGTTTTCAGGGAATTAAGTATGTCAAATTTGGATTTGGGTTTTTTTCATACCAAAGCCAAAGAAACTAAAATAAGCAGGATAAGAGGGGCTGACAGACAATCAAATAATTCCTTTATTTCATCAGTTCTGTTTCAGAAATTGAATTTTTGAATGCAAGTCAGCACTGTAGTTTTCAGATAAATGTGTCTTCTGCACCTCAGGAAGAAATTTTGGGGTTTCATCCATCCACTTACATATTTCAAGCCCCAACAATTCCTCCAGGATGAAATGCTGCTCATTGCTGGCATTAAGGTGATGGTCACTGACTTCCTTTAGGGAAGAAAATCATTCAAAACATGTTTCATACATTCAGCTTGAAAACAGAGTGGGTGTGTTCATACATTAATGCAAGTGTAAGAAACCCCTTTATTTCTTTATCAGTAGAAGTGAAAACAGAGGCCCCAAAGGGCCTGGAAAGTAACACCTTTGCAGCCCAATAAATGCAATTATCACTTCAAGTTCTGACTCCCTCACGCAAAATTCCACTTTGCCAAAATTTATCAAAAATATTAAAATTTGGCTTCTATTTCTGTGCTCTTTAAAAACCTTGGGATTTAAAGAGAATTTTTAAATGCATAAAAAGGGGTAAAATCCTCCAAAGTCATGAAGTTTCAGTGAAGATCTTACATCGTGTAAATATTGACTCTGTTCCCCAGTTGTGAGTGTAACCAAAGAGAACGTTGTGAAAACAGAGCCCAGACAATTGTGCCATTTTCCTTCAGCCCCTTCCTCCTCAATCCTTGAGGAAAAACCCCGTTACACAGGACTCTCACTGTGGGAAGCTCCAGACGGGACACCTGAACTGGGAATTTAAATAAATGTTTGCCCCCAGTTGAGTGATGAGAGAAAGGAAAAGGTTGAGAATTTATTGATCCCAAAGGATCCATCCAAAGCAATGACAAAAGTCTATTTGTGGTTTTGTTTCAAACTTCAATTTTTACACTAAAAACGCTGCTGGATGAGGCCCCAGGAAAGGCTCTGACCTAAGACAGGATAAATAAACCTGGATTGCTTAGAGAGTGGCAGGAACTTCTGAAAACCTGATGAACTCCAAAGCTTCTCCAAATAAAACCTTTATAATACCTTCTGATTAACACCCCAAATCGCTGACTCAATTATCTGGAGCACTCCACTCCCTCTCACCCCCAAAATACATCCCTGAGTTGTCTCCAGGGCTGAATCTGCTTCCAGGGAAATATTTTTTCAGGCATTGAGTTGAGTATATGAGCTCAGGCTCACAGCAGGCTGAGTAATGTACCTGCAACTTGAAAATAAACCTTACATCTTGCAGGATACTCTGCTCCTCAAGCCATGCATTGTTTCAAACTGGCTACTTCAAATAAATAAAGTAAAATATTCCTGAAAATTGAGGGTCCTTGGGTATTTCCAGGAAGGGACAATTAGCTCTTAACTTCAGTTAAAGGCAGTAAGAATCCTCAAGGTTTACAATGTTAATTTATTCATCAATGAATGAAATAAAAGGAAAGAAAAATTAGCCATAAATTAAACTTGGAAAGTGGTTTAAATCACCTAATGAGTTATAGTATCAACTGCAGTGAACACAGGAAAGAGGTGAACAATATCCACCAGAGACTGAACTACTCAGTGATAAGGGCTGAGGAATTACTATTCTTTCTAAAAGTCTGGATTAGCAGAGGAGGATAGTTTACTATAATCTACAAAAATGCTTCTGATAAAAATGCAATTAGGTTGGTAAAGGATTCTGTAACTCACAGAAAAAAGAAATACATAAAAAAATTTAAAAATAGAATTCTGGGTATTTTAGGTTTTATACCAATACCTTTATAATATTTCTTTAGGTTTGTTTGTTTTCCTAAAGGTTTTATGCAGGAAAAGAGAATCTGTGGCTGCCACACCCCTGGAAGTGTCCAAGGCCAGGTTGGACGGGGCTTGGAGCAACCTGGGCTAGTGGAAGGTGCCTCTGCCCATGGCAGGGGGTGGAATGAGATGAGCTTTAAGGCCCCTTCCAACCCAAACCATTCCATGATTCTATGACCACTCTGACTCTCAGTGGAAGCTCTGCCTTGTGTGCTGGAAGGGGAAGAGGGAAGGATACAGAGAGTCGATAAACCAGACCAGCCTTTAACTGGCAATAATCAACAAGTGATAAAGGTTTTTATGAATGAGACACAGGGAATTCAGGGAAACATTCTGTCCCTGTGAAACTGGAGTGTCATCAATGCCAAGTTAAACACATCCAGCCCTATTTTCTTTTGAGTCACAGAGGCCACAGCCTGCTCAGGAACAAAAAGCCCTCAGTGCTTTACTGGCACCACAGGTTTGATAATGCGCAACTTCAGACCAACACCAACAAATATTTGGGGCAGAGAATCTCAGAGTCTTCAAGAATTCTATCTAAATTTACTTTCAGACTGTCTGAGAAGCTGTCAGCAAAAATTTGTACACCCAAAGCAAAAGATTAAATGCCAAGTTCCCTGCTACACAGGACAGCTTTCTGATGGTTACGGAGATTTAAAAAAAACAAACCAAACCAAAACAGCTCAGGTCTGACAAATCCCTTAAGAAACTCAAAATAGTACAATTTACAGAGGAAAGCATTCACTGAACAAGAATTAATAGAGTCCCAAAGGGGCCATTTCTAAAAAGGCTTCTCAAGTCTTTTGTGCACAAACAGTAAGTTCAGCTAATGCACAAGAACTTGAAGATCTCCAAAATAACGACAAAAAACCCACCCCAGGTTTAGAGAAGGTTCTTTAAGAAATACTGATAAAAGAGTATTTAGCAAAAACACTGGTGTGATACTCCAGTTACTTGCTGTATGATCCAAGTAGTTATTCCATGCACTTTATTTCTTTTCTTATAGAACTTGGCCATGATTGACCTTTTCAATGTATGACTGTGAAGCTTTCAAGAGCAGAGAAAAAGGTAGACACAGCACCTATTTTAAAGAAAAATTAAATGCCTAAACACTTTGGTAATGGAGAATAAAAAGTAGGTATTTAGAGAAGCATTAAGTATTTTCTATCTATAAAAATATGAATGAGGAGGAAAAAGTTATTAGAGAAAAGAGTATTTTCATAAGCAGCTTCCTGTGTCTGGATTTATCTCCACAGTAAAATGACAGGAACATCAAGATTCAGATATTTAAAACCATATTAGGCAGCTCATACACCAAGGGACTGCAGGTCAAGCCTGCTCTTTCATCAAAGTGCATTAGATTATTCACCAGATTTTCCATCTCCAAATTCTAACTCCAAAATAAGCACAGATATTTTTCTAGCAGGAGCCTTTAGAAAACAAGCCCATAAAACAAACTCCATTGTACTTCTGGTGAATAGAAGTAAAATGAGAAGCAATTAGAATGATGATGAACTCATTAAGTCAAAACAGCTACATAAATAAAAGCAAAGCAAGCCTAAAAAAACCTGTCTGAGGCTTTTCCAGAGGATGGATGAATGAGCCTGGTTTAAGTCAAAATGAAATGTGAGAGTTGCAAAGTGTCCATGGACTCGTTCTGAGTAACATCATGAAACTGGTACAGAAATTACCTCCAAGATAAATTAATTTTACCTCCATGAACAGCCTCTTGACAGCTCTGCAGACAGAAGGAAAGGCCCAAAGAGTGGATTGCTGTTATTTTAAGAGCTCGGTGGTGAGTGACGTGTCCTTACCATCGCACTTTGTTGCAGGTCTGGGTGGCGCCGAGCGGGGACCCGGCCACCATGGGCACCTGGATGGGGCTGTGCTGCTTGTTCATGACCAGGTCCAGCTTCTCCTCCAGGGATTTACAGGTGGCCTCCAGTGCCAGCAGCTTGGCCTCAATGCTGTCCAACCTCAGGCATATTGTCTGATTGATGGAATACAGGAATGACTGCAGAGGGGAGGAGGCAGAAGAAGCTCATTTGAAACACGGATTATCTCCGGCGACACACGCGGGAGGAAGCTCCGGATAAACGTGACTGGGAAACAATTCTAAAGGAATTAGCAGTGACAAAACTCAGACCTGTTCAAACCTGATGACATTCAGGAGCATTTTTGCATTCTCAGATTCATCCAGATTTTTATTCAGAAGCCAAAAGCACACGAGCCAAAAGCATTTTCACCTAAGCACTTTGTAGGGATGATTTCATACACCACAAAAATCATTTCCAGTGATGTGCCAAAGCCTTCCATTCCACATGTTAAAACAGAAGGATTATAAATCTATGAATGCATCCTCCTGGATGAAGTTAACTAAGTTTCTTTCCTGTCCAAACAGATAAATTCAGATGATCGCAGTGGAAATTGTATCAACACAAACAACCTTCGAGACAATTAATGCTGCTCACTTCAGTTTTCTCCTCAACAGCAAATCAAGGAAAGCAAATAAATAAAATCTGTTTTCCTATGCAATCTTTTGCAAAAGAAAACATATTCTACTCGGGTTCTCTTGGGAAAGCAGGCCCTTAAAGGGAAAAGTCACACACACTGTGCTTTGCAAGCAGCAGCTGTGCCATCTTGTGGCCCCGCACTCACTGAACACCCCAAACCACGCTGGCTCATGGAGCTGCTGCTCTTTCAACAGAGCTTCAGATTCCATGAACATTCCAAAAATACAGAATTACCCACTATTTAATGTGTGTGGCATAAAATATTAGTCATAAACTTATGCTCCAAGACAAAAAACAACCTTAAAGCAAACTAGTGAGAACAGCGGGGGAGGTTCTGAGCTACTGAGCCTGAACCAAATATGAATTATCTGTTAGGAGAACGTTGGTGGCTTCAAATAATAATTTAAAACACGCTGAAATTATCTACAAATTGTACTATAAATACATGCTCAAGTTTATCTTTTCAGTCAACTTCACTGGCTTCATGACAAAATGCACCAACAGTGATGTTTGAGTCACTGGAATCATTCAGGTATTTTATATTACATATAAAATTCTTTAGACAGTCATCCAGATTTTAAAATTCATGCATAAAAACGAACAAGCACTTACAAGAAGGCCATGAACAATTCCAGCATTCTGTATAAACAATTTATTTTACATTCTTTTAACATATTTTCCTAAGAAAGTGAACTTAATTGGTATTAGCAATGACACCAAAGGCATTGTCACCTTAATGGAGGGGTCCTGGCAGTTGATTTCGATGCGCTGACGTTTCAGAGGAGGTTCCACATCATCATCTGCCACCTCATGGTTCTCCAACACAACTGCAAAGAAAAAAGAGCATGGCCAGAGTTCACAACACAAGAGGACAAGGCTGAAATCAAAAATACCTTAAAAGAAGAAAGAAAAAATAATGTAGAATGTATCTAATTAACATATTGCAGGGATTCTCTTACATTTACTTGGCTTTTCTCTTAAATATCTGACAGTGGGGATCTGACCAGGTTTGTTCCTGTACCAAACTGAGCAAAGACTTGTTGAAGGTTGTCCACATCCCACCAGACAATCCTGAAGCTATCAGCAAGGCAGGGACAGGCTTCTCCTCCAAATATTTGGGAATATTTCTGAAGGAACTTTTTAATTTTGTATCAGAAAAGCAGTTTTTGGTCTGTGTTTCTGTTTTCCATAACAGCAGTTACTGTTCTTGTACCTACTTCAAAGGCCACGTTGATCATTCATCACAAAGGATCAAGACCTAGAGCTGATCTCAATATATTTTTGCTTAGTAGGTCAAGCTCTAAGTAAAGGATATCATAATATTTGCTTTCAGAAGTGTTTTTCAATTTTACTGTACAAAGAATTTTAATAACGTAGGAGAGAAACTATTTTACAAGTAAAACAACAATCCCTAATAGATGGGTGACAGCTCCCATTTGAGGGAAAGGAAAAAACCAAAAGACTGCAGGAGGTCATATTTCATTCAGTTTTTGGGACTAATCTACCCCTGCACAAAAAGAAGCCCCAGACAATAAAGCCTTTAAAAGGAAAGCAAAATAAATCAAATTATCTCATCTAAAGGGTTTGAACATACACAGGTGAAGCTACTGAAAATGTGGGATGTGGTCTTTAGAAGCACCTTTTGGGAAAAAACTCTGCAGCCTGGTTTGTACTTCTAAGTAAAGCCCAGCAGTGGTTTCCACCTCGTTGAGGGCAGAGCTGTAAGTGGTACCTGGGTCATCTGGAGTCAGGTCCTCAACTGCAATTTGAACAACATCTGACAAATCCTGCTCTGACATCATTCAGAACCAGCAGCAAATCCCTCACACACCAGTGCAGGTCCCCAAGGCAGGAATTGGACACGTCATGCAATCCTGGAAAACAGCAGCAGGGAGAATGTTAACACAGATACACGTGATACAACAACACTGCCTTTATTTTCCATTCTTCTGCTATTAAAGGAGATTCCCAAAGAAATGACCGACCTACAAAGTGATTATCCAGTGGTATCCATGGATATTTTACCCAGCCACCTCAAAGAGCAAAGCACTGCAAGACCTGCAGCACCTCCAGGACTGAGCTCAAGCTTTCCTTGCTGATCCACCTTTCTGCACTTTCCCAATGGATTAAGAGAACATTCAGGTTCACAGACCTGGCAGCTCATTAGTACAATATCCAAAATGAAATGTTTTCTTTTAAATTGATTTTTTTTCTTTTAGAAGGTCTAAGAACATACAAGACCATTCCTGGACTGCAAAGTTTTAACTTATGAATTATTCCTTAGTTCTCAGAAGTGATCAGACTTCAGTCTTATTTCACAAAAGCACATGAAGCTCCCAAGTCCCTTAAGATTTGCAATTACTGCACATTCACATATGAATCTTTACAGGTCTCTAAAATCTTCCCAAATTCAGTGAGAACAAGGAGTTCCTCACAGCAAATTAAACTAGACTTGAAGCAAAACTTGACCTTTTTTCTTGAGTATGAAGTTGCCTGGTTTTTCTGCAGCTCACCTCTGATTAATTCATTTTCAGAATATGGTCCTGCTTTTAAAGCCAAAATATTTCTCAGCCCTGCTCCCTTGGAATTCTCTGTCAAGGTTATTTATGAGTGTTTTAAGAGAAACCTTCAGCCTGTAAAATTGAATTTAAATCACTGGAATCACTCGTATCTGTGCCTTCCCACAGTTTATGAAGGGATGGACAAGGAATACCAAGGGATCAGTGGATTTTTTCCCTTTTTAACCTTAAGTAAAAAACACTGGATATAATTTGAGGTTTACCAATGGAAATGATAATTCATCCCTTAACGCTGACACAGATTTTCCTCTTCCCTTCTTCCACTTGAGCACAAGAAATCCATTAAGCCAGACAGGTGGAGGATAAATTTTTAGGAGAAGAATCTTGAGCAAGCCCATCTCAGAGGGCTCCAAAGTGTTCACTCAAGACACCAGCACTGCCAATACTGAGTCATTTGAAATTCTGCTCATGGTGAAAACTCTTGGGCCAGCACAGACTGTGGCAGGACTCCCAAAAATCCCTGGCAATCCAGTTGTGCACATGGATGCCATTTTGGCAAATTCCATTTGCCATTTCTGAGAAATCCTGGTGCCCAGCCAGGCTGGACAGAACAAAGCAGCTGGCTCCTCATGTCACACAGTGCCTGGAAGAGCGAGAACTCCTCAACCTGAGGGAAGAGATTCACTAAAAAAGGACAAACTAGAGCAAAACCCAACTGTTAAACGCTTTGTTATTTACAGGATTCAAGATTTCACTGATGTGCTGCATTTAAATCAGTCAGAGCTACAAATATACCAGTATTTTTTAAAGCATTCTGAAGGTGTTGCAATGGTTTTAATATTTCATGTGCTGCACATATTTATCGTGGAATATTCTGAGTTTGAAGGGACCCAGAAGGATTAAAGCTCAACTCCTGGCCCTGCACAGGATACCCCAAGAATCAGACCATGTGCCTTCAAAATTAATTATAAAATATCACTGAATTAAACCTTTTTTCAACACAAACATAAAATAATTTCACACTTCCAGCACCTGTTCTCCCCCTCTCACGGGTCACAGTCTGAAAGTGTTCAACCTCACACCAGAAACACCAAAATATTCTGGCCCAGAGCCCTGAAACAAGGGCACAACCACCAACTACAACTGGAACAGCTACAACACAGCAATGAGTCTCCATAACATCAAAATTTACTGCCATTTAAACAAATTTAGTACAATTTCACTAAATCAGAGACATCTCATAGCCATCAGCCACCTCCTGATGGACACAATCCTGCCTTCTCGACAGGCAGAACAAAATTCCCTGGATCAAAACATAAGGGAAAAACAAATAAATTTGGTATCAACACTGATGTGTGGATTAGAAAAGCAGTGTCCAAGGAAACTGCAACCACAGCAGTTATCACACTGTGAATAAAATGCCCCTCTTCCAAATTCACAATTTGAATATATAGTAGTAAATTTTAGCAGTGGGCTGACCTTGCTTTCAGAACCAAGGGTAAAAGCCAGATAAAATTTAACAGGATGAGAGTTAGATCAGTTTATCAGCTGCAAAAAGCTTCAGTTAACAAATTCAGAATAACTTGCCCAATATAGTTTCCATATATTTAGTCAGTGAAGTATCTACCAGCATTGCTCCACGTAAAACACCTCTCTTCTTGAAATTTGCTCTATATTCTCTTTTTTTTTCCCCTATTTTTTTTTTCTTCTGGCTGAAGCTCTACTGCCTATTAATTCTAAATTAAGTATATGTACATTGGCACTGAGCTGCCAGTGCTGAACTATTACCTGGAACAAATATTAAGTTATAAAACAGAAATATTAGCAGAAAGCCGGGAAGCTGAGGATAAACTACACCAGGGACATGGAACGTGCCCACTCTTCCTCCCACAGCCAGCATGTGGAAGTTGGATCAACAGAGAGATATTTTACAGTCAATTATCTTATCTGGGGGAGGGTGTGAGAGGCAGGTTCTCCCAGGCAATAGAAAATATCCCATTAATACTCTGGCTACGGAGGCCTTGGCCAGCCAAGCTCACACTGACCCAGCCGAGCACTCCGGGTGGATCTCCACTGAACTCAGCGCTTCTCCCGGGGGTTCTGGGGTGAAAACACCAGAACCAGGTTATGGTGTCTACTGGAGGGACCTCCTTCCACCTCCATTCCCACTCCAGCCGTGGGTGCCTTCCAATTGGACAGGCTGGATCCACGGGCTGAGGCCAACGGCAGGAGGTCAGCAAGGGGATATGCTGGGTCCTGTCCTTGGGTCGCAACAAGGAAACGCTCCAGGCTTGGGGCAGAGTGGCTGGAACGCTGGGAAAGGCCCTGGGGGTGCTGGTGACGGAGTGAGCATGAGCCCAGGTGGTCTAGAAGGCCAATGGCACCCGGATTGTACCAGCCATGGTGTGGCCACAGGAGCAGGGCAGTGACTTCCCTCTGTGCTGGGCACTGCTGAGGCACCTCACGTGCTGTGTCCAGTTCTGGGCCCCTTCAAGAGAGACACTGAGGGGCTGGAGCACGTCCAGGGAAGGGAATGGAGCTGGGGAAGGGTCTGGAGCACCAGGAGAAGCTCAGGGAGCTGGGAGGGCTCAGCCTGGAGAAAAGGAGGCTCAGGGGGGTTCTTCTCGCTCTCTGCAACTCCCTGACAGGAGGGGGGAGCCAGGTGGGGGTCGGGCTCTGCTCCCAGGGAACAAGGGACAGGACAAGAGGAAATGGCCTCCAGCTGTGCCAGGGGAGGTTCAGGTTGGACATCAGGAGGAATTTCTTCCTGGAAAGGGCTGTCAGGCACTGGAAGGGGCTGCCCAGGGAGGTGGTGGAGTCCCCATCCCCGGATGTGTCCAAGAAACCACTGGACATGGCACTCAGTGCTCTGGGCTGGGGGACAAGGGGGGCGATCGGTCACAGGTTGGACTCGATGATCCTGGAGCCCTTTTCCACCCTCAGTGATTCTGGGATTCTGTGAAATCTCAGCAACCCCTCAGACCTCTGGCATCACTCAGCCCATTCCCAGAGCAGCTCTTTCACTGTCCCCCTTTCCCCACCCCAGATCCTACTTAGATCCCCTCCCCTAACAAACCCACCAGATCACTGTTCCTGTGGGATAAATAAGCACAAAGTTAAAATTATCTCATGTTGCCTCAAAAAGCAGAGCAAAAAGCTTAAATCCCTCCCTACAATCACTTGCTTGGAGGTGGCTCCAGTACTGGAACACTCAGAAGAACTCATCGCAGACAACTAAAGGTATAAATCTAAAGCAGATTAGATAAATTGCACTAAATATCTGCCAATACTCTTACTCAGAATTGATACACTTAACACAGAATTAAATCAGCCTTTGTTTAATTAAGCAAATTAATATTAGTAAGCAACTAAATTAAATTCACCTGAATTCCAGATTAGCTTTTCCACACACGAGTTTAATTTAATTTAATTAATCTATTTTAAAACAGTAATTCAGAATAATTCTTCTGAGCAGTGCCTTGTAAACAAACCTATTTACTGCAATATCTGATGGCTTTACAAAGTCCTGGGGCAGCATTCCAAAGTGGATAATCAAAATCATCCAATGCCTTGTTAACACAGAAAAACATGCACAAAACACAAATCTTGTCTCTCATACTAATTAGGGAGGGTAAATATTATCTTTTAAAAAAAATACATTTTTTCCAAAGCTTTGGTCTACTTGGAGTGTTTATTGGACTTCTCTTATGGAGCAGCTGATCATTTTCCTGGATAACACTTCTCAGTGCTATTGATAAATAAACAAACTTCTGCCGTACTCCAACAATGCCAATATCTAGTGCTGATTGTGTGAGAAAAGGGGAAGGATGTCATTTGCCTTTGCCCAACCCCACAGCCCCAAATGTTTTTCCCCTTCTTCATTCCACTCTTCCTTTAAATCAGTTAAAGTCAACTTTCAAATATGTCATTTTTGTCACAAATATATTCCTCATTATACAAACACATTTGGAATCTGGAATGGTTTGGGTTGGAAGGGACCTTAAAGATCATTGAGTTCTAATCCCCTGCCATGGGCAGGGACACCTTCCACTAGCCCAGGTTGCTCCAAGCCCCGTCCAACCTGGCCTTGGACACTTCCAGGGATGGGGCAGCCACAGCTTCTCTGTGCCAGGGCCTCCCCACCCTCACAGGGAAGCATTTCTTCCCAATATCCCTCCTAACCCTGCCCTCTGGCAGTGGAAAACTATTCCTCTTGAATGAATTCACCCAATGAATTTAGCCCAGCAGCCCATTTATCTGAGCCCAATATATACCGTGGATGGGACAAAGTTCCTCATCCTCCAAGAACTCTGATCTACTGGCACTTACAAAAGTTTTCCAAAGCAGGTGACTGG